CCCCCCCCCCATTCAGGCCTGTCTAAACGATATGCTGGTAATATAATTAGAAATGTATTCAGCCCTTGAAACAGCAATGTAATTGTTTAGAGTTGCCTTACCCAACACTTTTTCCATATGGCATTTGTAGTCCTGGCATGTAAAATGAGGTCCACTATATATATTCTTTGTTTGACCTTACTTACCTTGGAACAAAGGTAACAGAAAGTAATCCTCTGTGGTTATGCTTTGTCTTATGGAAAAATGATTTTAAGCAAGGGGGGGAAGTTCTTTTTCTTACTGGGGTAAAGCAGATAAGTGCTAGCTCTATAAAAGGTGGGAATGCCTGAGGCAGGTGGTTGTGGTAGCACACTCACTCATTCAAAGCTTTTCCCTCCCCTCTGTTGAAGTGCAATACAGTGTTCTGCATTTTCCCACAAAAATTAAGCTTACTGAGTATCTGCTTTTTCATTTAATTGGCACATTCACATTTTTATTTTTCCTTTCAGGGTCCAAACTGTCATCACTAAAAAGAAGTGGAAAATAATTACAGCCATGCCAGATGTTTATAGCAGTGACAACTGAGGCTATATATTTATATAAACTGCTGATCTTTCAGAGGTAGCTACAGAGACTCCAAAAACCTGCAGACCCTAATCTGAAATCACTTATTCCAGTGAGTTAGAAAACAATTTATACATATTTAAGAAGACAAATTTCCTTCCTATCTGGAAACTGTTCTTTTTTACATTGAAGCAGAAGAGTTTCTGAAAAACCATTGGGCAGAGAGTCACTCAAAGATGTACAAATCCAGTTGATAAGTATTTTAATAATTGTCCAAGAGAAGTTTTATAAGATTGGTCTGTGGGAAGTAATAATGCAAAGCTAGAAAGCAATGAAAAAAAATCCCTCACAGAAGGAAGACGGTGTCCCTCACAGACTATTAACCATGTTATTTCTGTTATTTTTAATTCTCCAAAAGAAATTATGACCAGAAGCCTCATTTGGGGTTTGCATCCTCAGCACTGGACACCTTGCAAACACAGATATCTCTCCTCTACATCACAGCTTTAAGTCTGTATATGGTACTAGAGACCAGTTACTTAATGGAAAAGAAAGAGGAATTATTCTGATAACTGAAGTAGAGCAGTCCAGCTTCAATCCTCTCATACTACCCCCTGCACGTTTCTAACTCAGACAACTCCTGGAAGGAAAGGGCCAGCAAGGAGAGTATGGCTACCACATCTGACTCACCCAACTCACCCTCTCTGCTCTGGGCAGCTCCATCCATGCCCACGCAGGGAGCAAATTTGACTTGTCCATGAAGCTCATCAGTTTGCTGAGTTAGCTGAGAAATTATCTGGGATAGTACTGACATTGAAAGAAGTAGCAAGTCTCTACAACCCAGTCAAGAATCACCAGATGGCACAGATAATTTTTTACATCAGTGATGCTGCTAAGCCTTTGGATACTAAGCAGATTGTAACCCCTCGAGACGTTCAGGCAATGCACACAAAACCTCAAAAATTCTCCCAAACATGCTTCTTGTTTCTTCATTGAAAGAAGCACACTAGGAATACTTTTCTTGTGTATCTAGGTCCTTTTAGGTAATACTGAGAAACAAAAAAAGCATAAATTTGGACCAGTGTGTCACAGACTCCTTTTGGAGACCCTTTGCCACTCACCATCCGTCTTTCACCATTGATTCCTCTCCACTGCTCAGCCCTCTTCATTATGTAGCTCAGCTCCTGACTGGAAATCTCTAAGTCCAGTGGAACAAAGAATGTGCCTTCCTCACCATGAATGCGTTGAAATACATCCAACAGCCAACCTTCGTTATGTAACCTAAGGGTATAAATGACACATTTGGCTCTTCTTTGAAGGGACTCTTAATGTAAAAAAGAAAAAGGTGTTTTATCCTTTTGCAGACTTCTAAAGCTTAGTTTTCCATTCATGACTATATTGTCTGCCCATGAGTAGAAAATTTCCTTTATTTCCCACAAGTTCTCCAACATGTAACCTTTCCCAACTCTCTGAAGACTTTTTAGTATCTGAATGAAATCACATCAACTTCAGCCGCAATTTATTTTACTAACTGCAAGATTTCAACTTCCCCAAAAGATCCTGATCTTCCTTTCCTTTAGAAATGCCCAATGTCTGTCCTTGGCATTGGGCTGAGTAACTAGTTCCAGAACTTATAGAGTACCTCATTTAGGCATGAGTGGACATCCTGCTGTGCCAGGGCTCAGTAATGGGCAAACCACATCACATAGAAAGGAACTACTCTCTTTTTTTTTTCCAACTCCACGCCTGAAGTCTATACAATCTAAACTTCTCTTGATCTTAAAGAAGTTCATTTTGTTTGTTGGCTTTGTTTTCCTATGACATTTCTGTGCCAGGGTAGGGAACTGAATTAAGCACTACACAGTAAAATTCTCTACCACAAGAAAGGCTTGTTGTGTGGTATTTCTTAAGGTAGGTGAAACCATGAAATATTGTGAGGTTTTTGGAAAAGCCTAGTGTCACATTTTTAGCCTCAGATGAACTTTAAAATTTCAAAACATTGCTGTTTAATTCAAATGGAACCTCTTCAAGTTCATCTCTCTCTCATTCTGCTTTTTATTCCAAAAACAGGGGTTCAGAAAATGAAGATGGGAAAATTTGCAATCTTAATCTTGAATACTGAGCTGAGGTCTTTCCTTCTGTACCCTCTTCCAAGCTAACATTTTATTACAATTTAGTCATTTCTTGGGACCAATTTCAGCTTTTCTGTCCTTCCCAGAGACTGGATGGGTAGTCATTGAAAAGTGTGGGGATTGCTGTGTGGCACTGCAACCAACAAAAAGCCTAGATTTCTGTGGGGTTGTACAGCTCCTGTATTTCTTGGCAGGCTGGAGAGAGAGCACAAGTACAACTCCTTTGACCCTCATAATTCCTATCCTTCTCCTCTAGAGCACTACAAGAGAGGTGCAGTTCTTATGGCTGATCCTTATTCCTGGGTCTTGTGTTGGCAAGTATATGCTAACCAGGGTGTGTGCAGGTGGAGGGCAATGGACTGTTCAAGCAAATCAGAATTAATTTCACATTTACATATTTCTACATCTCAACCTACAATGCACACAGTGATTTCAGAGAAGCACACTCAACAAGCTGCTTACTATTTTTTTCATATATTTTTTTCCCCCACAACTGAGATTTAGTGTGGAACAGCAATAAGGAGATGCACCAAAGGACAGTTTTTCAACTTGATCTCAGGAGGAGCTTTTGCTTACTCTTCAAAGGGTAATATGTACCTTAGGGTCAAGATCTATATCCAAGAATTTCTGTGATGGAGTAGGTATTCTGATACTGAAATCTAGCAGCCTGGCCCAGCATCAGATTAGGGATTTACGTCTGCTTTGCTACAAAGGCGCTTTCTGTACCTTTTTGCCCCACCCTTCTCTTTTGAAACATTCCTTTTGAAGCTGCTGCCTTAAACTTGCTGTAGTTTCCAAGATGTCATTTTGGGATTCTCTTCTCAAAAGAGGAGAGCAGCTAGAAAATAGCCTAATTGAGATGTAGGCAGTCCTGGAAATATAAACAAACTGGCTACAAAGAAATAGTAAGAAAAGCTCTGAATGATGAAATGCAAATCAATACTAAGGCAGAGAAGGATCCATAAGTGTCTTAACGCACACTACAGATGAGAAGTTTTTTAATAAATAACTAATATCCTTCATGGAGTGATTTTCCAAATTCCACAATATGTTCAAAGAAAAGTTTGTTTCTTAATTCCTGGATCTACAATAGATGTTCTTTCAACACAATAGGTATCTTTTTTGCAAACATTGCCTCATAACTGAGAATTACCTTGTGCTTAGTTGAAAAAATAGCAATCAATCAAGCTGGTAGGCTTTCTGGCCTTATGCTCATCTTGAAGCAATAATATTCTATGGTGTTCATCTTTGAAATTCCAGGTCAACAATTCAAATTACTTGCCACTTACCTTGCTAAGCAAGAAAAAGGCCTTGTCATTTTTTAAGCTCACTTAATGTAACATTCTTATTTCAAATTAAGTAAAATTTAATGCAGTTAAATTACTGTCTATTTGCTGCCATAAACATCTTCTATATGAAGATTTTAAGCACATGGTTATAAACAATATAATTAACTTTGAATTAATTAAGAATCATGAAGCCTGTCTTCCATCTTTGTTCTTTTAGCCCCAAAGTACTCAGCCTGCTCCTTCTACCTGCCTTAATTTCTTTTATTTGGCCAGAAAACCAAGAAAACACTATTTCTTGTACCTTAATATGACTTCTCCATTACAGTAATAATTTCTATTGCTAATGCAATAAAGAGCAAAAAAAAATTCAGATGCTATTTTCTAGAGGTATAAGACACAGTATAATAACTTACAGGTGAATTATTCTTCAATAAGAACAGAAAACACTGAAATTATTTGCTCTCCAGAGGCAGATGAAAAAAATTGACATCTCAAAAATTTACAGAAAATAAAAATTGAAGGGCAATGTGGTTTAAAACAATTTATTACATCTTCACATGAGCACCTCTCATCTTTTTTTAGAAAACTATATTTTGTAAAAAACACAAAAGTAATTTTGCTGTTAACATTGGAAAATGTAGATTATTTTTTTTAAGCTTTTCCCAAATAAATATTTCAGTACCAGGCAAGTAAGTCTATTTCCAAGAGATGCTTTTAGTTGAGACGGGTCTGCATTTTCTCACAGTGCAGAAAACATTTCACAAATTCCTGAGTGTTTCTAATGTCTAGTGGAATTAAAATGAAGGAATAGCAAACAGTGCCACTTCATGTTTCCAAAAAGTAATTAGAATATCTCTCCATGCTAGATGTACTACAGACTCCCAAGACACTTAGGACAAGCCAAATTTATTGAAGTATGCTGGTTTATAAAGACACAAATAGATGACTAGTGCTGTTTATCCCTTGCCCATGATTTCGTTACTTTCCTGGATATTCATCAGTGCTTCCATGAAGCTTTCTAGCTCTGACAGAAGCAGACACTTCACCTACTTGTTTTGGTGGTCTGGTGGGTTCCCTGTTCTCATCTCTTTTTCATATTGTGTTGAACATTTCTGTTAGGTGGCAAATTGCTGAGTAATCCTAACCAACGGCACTAACTCCACCATCCAACAAAGTCTTCCCTGTGGACTGGTGTTTTAGGACACAGAAAACATCCCTCAAATTTATATTGGTTTACCTTACAAGAAAAAAATGCAGTGGATGCCTGTGTAAAAATACATATTTTCTGAGTCCAGAAATACTGCATTTGAATATCTTTGAGATATGACATCTGAGAAATATTCAGACAAATGGATACTACTGCCTTGGCTATAATATTTTTTCTTGGAAACAAATGCTCTTGTATCAATATTCAGGAAATGATGTTATGAATTGCGGAGATGATTTACTTAAAAACATTTTAAAATATTTTAATGCTATTATTAGAGGACTGATAATGTGCTGCTCAAGAGTTCTAGGCAGGTCCAAGGTCCCCACTGTGTTGGGCTGAGGACATACAGGGAAGAGAAAGTTCATGCATTTTCAGAAGCTCATAGTTAACTTTACACTGCACAAACTCTAGTATTTAAAATGTCTTTTTTGTTGTTGTTGTGAAGAACTTCAAAGACCTTATGCACTGTAACAGATTTTGTTATCTTCCCTTTGCTTTTGTAGTTCACTATGAATCATTTTTAAAATGTGTCATGCTAAGACAACTTTTTTTTTTTTTCCCCTAGTAACGTTCTTCCCCCACCCCTTTATTGGAAAACATTATAGGAAAATTGATCCAGAAGGAAAGAAACCTTTGATGATCTTGCACCTGTTCCCCAGACAATGAAGATGTTGGTAATATTCTCATAAAAACCTGCCTTACAAATGTTTTAATTTAAATTAATTTTCCTGAGTAATAAACGACTGCAGCTAAAACTTATGAAGCTATTCAAAGCTATTAAGTCAATGATTAAGAAGGCATTAACATCTCAAAAACTAATTAACTAGACTACCAGTACATTGGAGTTGTGTACAGCTTCCAGGAACACAGGAGCTTCAAAATACTTTGCAGAAATTTAGATTGCCATTTATCTTTTTCTGCCTGCTGCAGCAGAAGCTGTGGAAAGGAGATTGAGGGAGGATTCTGTCAGATGGAGAGTGTACGCTGAGCTTCTCTGTTCTTACACCTGCTGGCATCTTGCCTTTGCGTACGGCTTTTTCTTTGTGCTTGCCACCACTCAGCATCCACCACTGGGTGAATCAAGGGCCAGGACAAAATTCATACTGCGTTATAGATGAGTCAGTCATAAAAAAGAAAATATACTTTATAATTCATTATATTAGATCACCTATCTCTTTCATTTTCAGTGTCCCACACCTGTGTCTATTGACTGCACAGTTAATGGCGCCAACTAGAAAAGTGACAGGAAAAGCAGTTGGTAAAAGTTCACGATGAACTGAATATTGACAATGGACTAAAGTAATGAAAATATTATTTGGATTAAGTCATGTCATGCAATGGGTTAAAGCCTCAGTCGCATTAAGTAAAAAATACTGTATCATCAAAAGTCTGTAGGACTCTGGGGGCCACTGCAGACTCAGAGAGATGTTACGCTTCACACCATGTGTAGCTTTCTGAATTTGTCCTATTTATCAGAAAAACCCTGCTTGGAAGACTAAAGATGGAATCTTCCAAAGTATCCAAATAAAAGGTACACACACTTAAGAACCTAAACCCCTGACACAGACACTGCTGTCCAAAGCCAAAAGAAGAGACGATCTAGACTCTATGAAAAATCATTGTATCAACTGTGTTCCTGTAGAGGAAATGAGTGTCTCTCTCTCTGACTTGCAGTGTCTCCCAAATACCAAATATTAGAAGTTAAGCAGGAGCTCACCCACCCTTGACTGTCTCCAATTCTGGAGATATGTGGATTATGACATTGATGTGTCTTCTCTGGTGTCATCTTATTTTATCCTACAGGAAAAGGGACTTGAGCATGAAGTCCTACAGGAAGAACGGGATAAAGAGACATACCTTAAAAGGTACAGGTACAACACTGTTGATGAGATCATGAACAGGATTGTATAAAGTATCACAGTGATTAAGGCACCAGGAATCCCTGAGTTCTCTGCTCTTAGAAAGACCCAGTAGAGCTTTGCAGCATCAGCAATGGGTTTCTCCACACTGTAGCCAAGTCGCTGTCATGGGAAACATAAGAAAACACCAAACATGATTAGATTATTTACCTATAGGCACAAAAGAACCTGAATTTCTTTATATGAAGGGTTTAACTGTAATTTGAGGGGAACTCAGATTGGAATTTAGGAGTCTGCTACACAAAATTTGAAATTAACCATGAGATGTATAATGAAGCCTTTTCTTTTAGTACAGTTACAGTGACTTATTGAACGAAACTCATGTGACAGTGAAAGTATGCAATGTGAGCTTCATTAACATATTTCAGGAAAAGTGAAAGGGTAAGGAAGCTGAAATTTGCCTAATTTCAAACTACCAGAGTGGATTAATATTGAAAGATATGTGCTGATCTTGTTAGGAGTTCTGAATGAGCAGAAAACACTTGTGCCACTGCATAATTACACACTGTCCAGTTTCAAAATTGTTTGTCCTTGCCACAAGGAAAGTGCTAGTTGCCACCAGACTTCGCCAGTTACCCACGCATCATTTTGAACAAATGCACTTTGGAGGGTTTATACATGTCAATTCCCAACATCAAATTGAGTCAGTGTTCAGTGCCACCACTGGAAGACAAAAGTAACCATCATGTTATCTGAAATGTAAGGTGAAAGTGTCAGGGTGTCTCTGTGTATTCCTAGCTGACACCTAGCATAACTTTTCTACTTGTCTTGCATACAGCAGCAGCAGTCTGAGAAGGCAGCAGATTCCACAGAGAACCAATGAGGTGAGAAAAATGAAGACAGTAACTACAAATAGATCAACAGGGAACACCAGCAGGGTTCTGTTAAGTTTCGCCCAAAGAAGTTGACCTTTTCTCAGTGCAAAGAGACAAGTTCCTCCTCATGAAGCACTATTTTAATTTATGTACACACATTATCAAGTCTGTCTGCAAACTTTTAAGTCAGAAAATCAGATATTCCCCTCCACCCCATTCCTAGTGTCCAGTTAGTCCAGTCTGGGAAGCCACAAGGACAGTCTGTAACGCTGAAGAACCAACAAGCATCAGCATTATGTTATGATATACCTCTCATTTAATTTCTTTCTTTCCTGAGAAGAAATAGAGACACAAGGAGACCAATAACCTGACTGTACTGGACTTCCATAGCTGTGGTGGAATTAACAGTATAAAGCAGCAACCATAAGTTGTATCATTAATAGCTTCTCCAAAGGTACATGACTTTCATATACCCCGCTTAGTTATGCTATTATTTATGTTCAACTGCTTTTTAAACAAACATGTATAATTGTTTTCATTCTACTGAAGATGAAACAAATCTTTAACATACCAAATACTGCTAAGGAATTCATAGAATATTCATAGAATGAAATTAATAATTTAACTGGGAATAAGGTGGTTTGTGTACTTTTGCAAAAAATCACAAAAAATCCTGAAAGCTTTGTAGCACTCTCTGTTTCATTGTACTTCAAGAAAAACTTGGAAAAATATTTTCCAAACCCCTATTATTTTCCTCTTTCTTTTTTTTTTTTTTTCCATATGTAGTTCTTAAGAACTAGCTACTGTATTGACATATTATTGCCCTCTGCTGGATCAATTTAGAAGAATTCAGCTACAAATCAGAGGTCTTCTACCACTTAGAGCCAAATAAATTCTTGTTTTCACTTCTTTTCGTTTTAAAGTGACAGTGACAGCCATAGCTATATTCAATCACACTAACATATTTTGTAGGGATGTGAAACTACATACCTAAAAAAAACAGTATGTATCTTTCAGAGAGGGAGTCTGTGACCTCTAAGCTTCAAGAATCCCACACTTTCTAGAACAACTTGCCTGGAACAATCCTTAGGAAGATTCAAAGGTTTCTCCCCAGTTTTGGCTACCTTCACATGACATACATTGTAAAGGAAAGACAATCACAATCCAGTGATGAGCTGTATGAGAACTGAGACTCTGGAGTGTATTTCTTTTCTCTCTCCACCATTTGCACTACTGCCACATTTCTGTAATGGAAATTAAAGGTCCCAGAAGACTGGTAATGGTGTATAAGACTAGTCACTAGGTCAGTTCTGTCTATTTCTTTAAAAAACAAAAAACAAAACCAAACATTGTCCTCTGGTTTTGTTCTATCTTCCTGTTCTACCCTCTCTTCTTGCAAAGAAGCTGTCTGCCTCCTCTGCTTTCTTACTGAAGAGACTGTCTGCCAAGGAAAATCCTCTGCACAGAAATCACATCCTGACATCCTTAAAGAGAAGCAAAAGTCTGAACAAATGAGAATAAATTTCTCCCTTATCCAAACAGTTCTTTCTGGCAAGACAAAACTGGCATGGGTGAAGCACATCTTTCTATCAAAGAGATTGTGTCAATTACTCTGTGGTCTTTGATGAGGACCTTCTTTCCCAATAAAGTTGCAATAATTTTAAATCACTTAAATAACATTCATCATTATCTGGCTCAGGTACTAGTCACAACATAGAGTGATGATCACATGAGCACTTTGCAATTTGTAGTGTTTTTTTCTGGTGACATGTATGTGTGTGGTTAAAGAGGTTTTACTCTCCACATTTATAAACAACAAAGAGACAAAGCGGCTGGTGCAACTAGAACCACATTCTCCAGAATCATAGGAGTTTCTCACCCCCTTGTAGAACTACCTTCTACAAGGAAACCTAGGACATCATATTTTACACAGTATCTTGAACTAGCTCTTTATTATTTCCCTAACAATAAAAAAAAAACAGTTACTAAATAGAAGAACTTTTGTCTCCAGGGGCAGTCGTCTTTTGTAAGTATTAAAGGCAATTTAGGGTACTAAAATACATTCTAGCACTACAATATCTCAAAACATTTAAAAAATGTTTGATCTGAAATAGATTGACAAGTAAATCTCAAATAGCTATTGAAAGAATGCTACCAGAATAAAATTACAAATGCAATAGCAAAAACAGATGTAAGAAATATAGTTTCATTTTAGAAAGGATATGCACAACATATTCTGTAATATTTGAACAAATTAATTTCTATCAAAGAGAATCTCTGCCAAATTTTCAGTATGAAGTACAGAGGTGCCCTTTTATTTATGCTGTAAAGAAAAACTTGGTTAATTTATCGATATCTCACATTTCCCTCTGACTCTATATGAAGCTCTGTTTGAAACTGACAGTGAATCCAGTCTGACTAGAATGGAACACAATCCCACTGAAGTCAGTGGCAATAATTCTCTCAAAGCAAGCGTGGGAAAGACAAGGTAAACCTCAGCCTTTCCTTCAGTTTTCATGAATACATCAGAACTTGGGGAGGGTACCTTTAAAATATTTAAATATATCTAGCCTGGATATTGCAAAAATACTTCTTTTTCTCCTAAGAAGAATAAAATCTTCATCAGAATAATTACAATTAAAATTCAATTCTGCACATGGTTTACATCATGAAATCGAAGGAAAAAAAAAAAAAAAAAGAAAGGCAGATTGTCCAAGTGAAAATTAGTATGTTGCCACATACTTAAAATACTGCAATTACCTCCCAAGGGAGCTCTGATTAAATTTCTTTATCAGCTGAATTTTAATTTTCAAAAAACACTACATGTAAACAATGGGAAACCATATTTTAACAAGACTTAAAAAGCAAAGTGCGGGTTAGCGGATGAGGAATAGAGAGACCTGCATCTTCAGAAAACCTGATTCACAGCAAGGACTGTGGATTACTGCTTCATCTGAAGTGAGCAACAGAAACAAAGATGTCTTTGAAAAGCAGACAAGTGCCAGACAGCAGTTCCTTGCCCCTAGAAAAGCTCACAGCACCCGGTGCCCATCAGAAGGACCCTGCATCACCTGCACAGTGAGCGCCAAATCTGAAACGCCTGTTCTGGGAGACTGGGCATTACCTCATATGAAATAAAGGCCCCTGGCCATCAAAGTACAAATGGGTTACACAGGACACAAATAAAGTCAGAAGCTTTGCTCACATGATTTTATATGTGATGAAGCTCTTCCCTGAAAGATGTCTGTTTTTCAATCTCACCAGCCTTTTTAGGTGTGCCAGCAAGTTACAATAACTAGGCTGCATGTCAGAAGAGTGCACAATAACCCCTCCTTTTGGTTTTGCTATTTTTTCAGCTCTTCAAAAAGTCTGAAGTGCTACTCATCAGGACTGCTCATTAACCCATCTCCATTAGCATCCAAAATTGCAGTAATCTTTTTCAAAGCAGATACAATCATTCCAGTGCTGGATTTACTTCCTTATCTCCCTATATGGCTTATACAGTGCTCTTAATTTTATGCAGAAACACAATTACTTCATTAGATGGGAATTTGTTAATAAAAAAGGTAATATATAACATTATTATTTAATTTCTTTTTAACTTTCATGTTCCATTGCCAGGGGTGGAATTTCATGTCTTTCAGTGATTCACTGAATAAAACAAACTTCTACGTCAAGGTCTCATGTGCAAGTTATTTTAAGTGACTTACCCCCAGGACTGAATCCACTACAAACACTGCCAAGGGGTCTAGCACTGTCCAGAGTCCCAGAGCTATGATAAACTTTGACAAGAAGGAAGGGAATGAGTCAAACAGCTGTTGACAGCCCCATCTGATCAGGACCATAAGAAGCAGCACTGCGTTCAAGGTTAGGGGTCCCACCACAACCATGACCAACTCTTCACTGGTCTTCAGCAAGGAGTTCTGGTAGCACAGCTCGACAGTGTGAGGGAAAAGCTGGAATCTGTAAGAAAGCAAAAGGAGAGAGTTTGTGTTCCTGGGCAAACCATTTTAAAAAACCAAAAAACATAGAATAATGCATACAGCATGTTGCATTGTACAGCTGCACCCCTGTCATGGTCACAATCTGCTGACCAAAAACTGTATGAAACTACTAAAAGAAATAAAATGTTTCTCCTCCTACTGTCTCCACATCATTTCATCCACTCTGACTCTCAGTTCAGTGGATGCATGTCCAGGCCCTTGGGACTGTGCAGGCTGCACTGGAGGAAGATACAGTTGCTCCCAGTAACACCAGTGTGAGCACAGGCCCTGGGAGCTCACCCCTCTCTCCATACTTGCAGCATCTCTGGACACTGCACACAACAGGCGATGTGTCACGGAAAGCAGTTTTTAGCATGCCTAAAATGACTGAAAATGTCCCTCTTGCCAACATGGGATGGTGGGATTTGAAAATTTGAAAAAGTAAATTTGCTGGCGCTTTATGAGACAGGAGCTGCACACTACTGTGAGCTACATACAGGTGCTGAAAATTAAGGCAAAAAATATCAAGCAAAGGTTAAGTCATTCAATTTTTCACTTTGGTTCCAACTCATGAGTGCTACCACTGTATTTGGCAGGAGTAGAGAACGCTCAGCCCAGTCTCTTGTTCTGCTGGCACACAGCTACAGATTGAGATGCTCATCTAGGGCATCTTGGCTTGAGAACAGTATCCTTCATCTAGCTGACTGGCTGGGGCAGCTGTGATTAGTGGCTTTGAACACGGCCACCTCTCTCTCACATGTTCCTTCCTTCTGTTGTGTTTCAGACGCTTGATGCTTGGCCTCTCAGAAGTTTTAATGCCAGCTGGTTGAACATGCCTGGCCTCACGAGGCCAGAAGCAAGAGATGGCTGGCTTTGCATTAAGATCTAGAAGGCTACCTTAACAATTCCTGGTGCTGCCCAGACCCCATGCTCAATTTTCACACCCTATTCAAATTGTAGCCAATAATCCCAGAACCACAACAGACACAGGTCATGGAGTTACATGTAACTGGCTCCTACTGACTGATTCAGGTTTGCATGATGCTTTGAAGGGAAAAAAAAAAAAAAGAACAAAAAGTTTCTGTTAGGTATGACTGATCTTTTTTCTTCTATAAACCCATTGTCTACCCCACAGCAACATATGGGGAATGAGGCATATATCACCTTGTGGACTTGCTCATCTGTTTCTTTTTCTTTTTTTCGTGTCAAGTAATGACAAGCAATAATTTTCCTGGAGCTCTCAGGAGAGCCTGATTCGTGAGCTAAAGTCAATGTATCATACAGTTAAAATATGTCAACCCATTGTGGTCCTCACAGTAAAATTGATATATCAAAGTTAAATTCTTCACAGTATTTTACTCATAGATCACTTTAGTAACATCAAATATGATTTAAATACTTCTTCAGTTTTGTGCACTTTCTAGGCATTTTGAAATACCCCATCCAAAGTGATAAATGATTCCTGTGGAAAATACTTAACCTGCTGTGTATCTCAGATGGGAGAGAGGTAGGCATAACACAAGATGCACAAAAGAACACATCTTGCTCTGGGTGGAAAATTTACATTATTAACATCTTCACATTTCTGTTAGGGTCGCATTTACATATCAGATCATCTGGAGTCTGGACATGGTCCTTGTTCTCCTCGTTTCTGAAGAAGTTCCTATCAGGATTTGCATACAAAACTCTTAGCATAAGTGTTAGTCATCAGGTCTCTTCGTAGTGTGAAGGAACTGCTTTGAATCAGGTTATTTGTAGAAATATTCCAACAACAGAACTTACTTTGTAACAGGAATTGAGATGGTGTTAAGGAAGAGCCACTGGCTCAAATAGTGCAGGTAAAGTCTCACAAACCAAAGCAAAACCACCAGCAGGGCAAGCAGCCAGAAGTCCAGGGAATGCCAGCGTGTGGCTCCCAGCTCTGAGAAAGCTGAGTACACAACAAAATAGAAACGCTCAACAATCCGCCTGGGCAGTTTCACTTCGGCAGCAGGACAGCAGCTGGAAATATATAGAAATAAAACAGAGTCACTTGGAAAAACACAAGAAATACCAGTCCACCAAAACACTGTGGAGTCCTGTTGTACAGGAAAGAAATGTGGCACAGGTTCTCATGATACCTTTTGGTTGACCAACACAGGAAAAAACAAGGAACAGGTTTTTTTTCCATTGCAGACTAGGTGGTTGGTGGCTTCCACCCAGAAGTCATGCTGCTATTTTTATAAAGAAAACAACAAATCACATTTAAAACTGAGTTTTAAAAAGTATTTTGCTTACATTTTTGCTTTAATTTTCTCACAAATTTCTCCCTGGGGAGCACTTTATCACTTATTTTCCTCCTGAGAAAATGGTAAAAGAACTTGTCATATTTGTACAGGAAAAAAAAAAAAGTATTCATTTTTTTGAAAAATGTGAACAGCTTTTTGGCGTTTGGGTAAGAGAACTTCAATCAAATATTTCAGTACTCAGTGTTGACTAAAACCCCTCATTAAACTAGTTTCGAGTGAAGAAGAAAGTAGAAAGGAACTTGCACTGTACAGTATTCTGCTACTGACTATGGTGTGATTTGCCCTTTTAGCTAATTACTGTACTGCTTCAAAGGGAAGGGGGGGGAAGAGATGAGATGCAGAGATGCCTTGGCATTATGTTTCCAAGAAACTGGAGTCTCTCAGCTGATTCAAAGCTGAAAAGACAGTAGCATCTTTGACCTTTTGAAACTTCTGTTATACTTATTTCCACTGATTTTAATGACTAAGCAGCTGAGACGCACAATTCTAGGATTAAATATGACGTCAACGTATTGATTAAGGTTCCTGAAAATTCAGAAATACAAAGATCTTTTTCTGAAAGAACACATGTTGACTTTTTAAAGTGTAGCATATGACTGGAAGAGAAGCAACAGCAAAACTTGCACTGTTTTCTATACTCCTAAAGCATTTTCCTGCCTACACATATGAATTCCTTAAATAGCTGTGGATGTTTATTTCTTCAGCCATCACAAAGAAACCTGCAAATATCAATGGAAAAACTGAAAAGGATTCTGCATTTAATCTAGATTTTAATGAGCAGGAGAAATAAAAACCCTTAACTTGCCAGCCATAAGTCTGGATTTTGAGACCAGCTTTTGCTTCATGCTACTCCTGACCCTGGATGTTGAACAGGATGCTTGTGGAGGGGGAGGCATGCTCTCAGCAAGCCTCTCTTCTCATGAGATGCTGCAAGTTTTAACTACCTGTTTGAAGAAGAAGAAGAGGAGAAGTTGTCAGGGACACACCACAAAAAATAGTGTTTGGGTCACTAAGAAGGGCTCAAGTACAAATCACCAAAACTTCTCACAGAAGTATCTGCTGGACTGAGACAGATGATCCTTGCAGTGACTATAGGCTGATTTGTCAGGAGTTTTGAAGACTTTTGAGACACTGCAGTCCGCTTTGCTTATATCCTAATCAGTCACAAAGTCTTAGTCTACAGACTTAGCACCACATAATGAATCACCTTCCTCATATTGTAATTATTTACCCACAGAGGCCTACAGAAACATCACAATACATTTCATTAATATTATGAAATCATGGTCTAGGCTTGTGTGAGAAAGAGACAAAGAAAAATGTAAAAGAAGAAATATAATTACCTGTGGTATTATACTACCTTAACCAGGGCATTCTGGATGTTCTGAACTCTAAAGCTAGATTGTACTACATTTCTTTTTACATAAAGAATTTTTTGGTCATCTTCAATAATTGCCATCAAAGTCTGCTGTTAAGGTATTCATTCCTTGAGAAGAGTTAATAGGGCAAGATTAAACACAGTTATTTTATCTGGAACAACCAGTTTGTTGTTGGGGGGGGGGGGAGGGGGGGGGGGAAAAAAAAAGGTCCCCTCCTGCAGCTCAGCCACCCGGTCCTGAAGCTGGACACGTACCGTGTACTCCTCTTCCCATCTAGGGATACAAAGGCACGAGACACCGGGTTTTTTTGTGGGGGGGGGGGAAGGGGGGAGGGAAAAAAAAAAGGAATACTATCAGTACACTTATGTCCCACCCAGCCTCACCCATGTCAGAAATCCACATCCTATAGAGATCTCTGCCAGCCTTCACTGCTGAACTGAGAGCAAAGTAATCACGTTTTTTCCATAAAAGTCTAGATGGAGATCACCACCTCATTTCATCTAAGATTCATTGCTACCAGATTATTTGGGCTCAGTTTACTAAACGAATCTCTGAACAAGCAACACCAAAGTGAAATGTTCAGAGTACCACCTGTAAAATGTTTCAAAACATAAAAACTTCCTCCAACCCAACAGACAGATTGAGAAGGAGGACACACAGCTCAGAGCACTGAAAATGCTGAGTCCTCTTTCATTCACAGCATCCTGGGGCACCAGAAATGCTGAGAAACATCAGTGACCAAAATGCTGGGCTGGGAAAATGAGGTAATATCTTCCTTACAGAGACAAGATCTGGCAATACAATCAGTACTTTCACAGTAGTTTCATGAATACAGTTACTCCAGCTCTGTAACTCACAGTATGGAAGCTGCTTGCACAATCACCATGAGCACACGGTACAAACTGTGGTTATCAAACTCCCCCCCTAAGACTGCAGAAGCAATGAAAATGTTCAACCTGTGCCTTCATCACTACATTGCTCCCCAGTCTACTTCCACTTTCAGGAGATCAAAAGAGAGCTGATGTCTCCACCTGTGAGTTGTGTCATCCCTGCTGAGATGTTGGCTCTCTCAGACACAGGAAACCATATACTCAACAAACTTCCAAAGAGAAGTGGAGAAATTTAGAGCACATTCACTATTAGCAAACCCTAGAAGCCTTCCACTGGCACTAATCCTGCTTAAACCAGCAGGGTAACATCTACAATATCTTTACTTCTGTGCATCTTACCTACGAAAAAAACAGCACCAGACCAGAAATTCCACAGAAAGCCAAGCTTGCTTGAAATCATCATAGAAGTCAAAGAAACAAGAAAAATATAACCATTAGGTAGAACCAAACAGCACTGATTTTTGGAATAGCAACTGTTTTTTTAAAGACTTCATGGTTTTCATCATACACCTTGACCTTGATTTCCAACTTTTAAATGGAAATGAAACTCCTCCTTATTGTTTAACTTGTCATGAGTCCAGATTCTGAGTGTCACTTCTTTGCTAGCTTGAACTTATCTGTGACTGTGTAACACCTTGATGTGAACATGATAAGCCAGTGGTAGAAAGTGGTGGAAAATACAGCATATCCAGTGACTCAGTGAAGGTCCCAACCCATAACTGGAATCTCTTCATTTACTTTAAAACAAATTAATTTGGCCCTGACTTACATGTGAGATACAGCAAACTATTTGTGAGTGTTCATTAATCATGCTATAAGGCTGTTTACTGTTGTCACTTCAAAACACTGGGTTTAAATGATATCTCTTATTGAGTTTTTTGAAGAATGAAGAAAGAGGCAGAAACGTGAAATGAAATGCACCAAACAAGTGGAAACAGCCCCTTTAAATATTTTTAGCTGGTGCTACTAGTGAAAGCTCGTGGGTGGAGTGACAGTGCTGGCAGATACAGTTTTCAGAAGAGATTTATATAAAGTTGCTCTAGGGCAGAGAGCATAAGCATTACCTTTCAAAACCAACACAAACCCTCCACCCACAAAAACCCCAAATCTCAACCCTTGGGTGAAAACTATATAAGGCTCCAGATGAGAAGTCACTTGAGCAATGGATTTATCCATGATTCCTTGGATTACTGGTAAGTAATTTGGCTGAATGTTTCTGTTCTAGGGCATTAGTTTTGCATTTTTCTTTGCAAAATGCTGCAGTAACAAACAGCAGAGACTGAATTACCATAAAACCAGGTCAATTACTTCAATGGAAATTGTTCAGAAGGAAAGAAACGATGCACAGATTCTCTTAAGCTACGCTTGATGATGATGACAGAAAAGTAATGGCTGATAGAAGGCAGTGTGTACTCTTGGGTGACAGCTTTGCTGCTAACAAACTGTGGTGAACATTTGTATAATGCACTGCAGGACTGACACTTACAACTGATAGTAGGGTAGATTCTCAGCCAATGCAACCCTGTTTGCCCCAGAGCTACACTGGTGTATACGAGCTGAGGTATTCAGGGTTTAATCCTGAACGTATCTATTATTTAAATTGTACAAAATATGGCAAAATAAATGTTTTATGTTACCCATACAGGCAGAGAAGATTTAAAGAGCAAATGCATACAAGAATGAGTTTATGCAAACTACTTTCAGGGGATCACAGTCCTCACAGCCAAAGAATCTGTGCAACGTATTTATTCATTTGACAAATAAAAAGACCATTCCCCATCATCACCATAACTGGTAGATATTTAAGTCCTTAAGTCCCTTACAGCTCATCAACAGCAAAGAAGATGCAGGAAATGTTGCACAATGAAATGCCATCAGTTTAAGTGGAAAAGCACACCTGTATCTGATGGTACCCCTAAAAAGAATACACTGCTACACACAGCCTTAAAATGGAAACCAGTTAACAGCACCACTGATGAAGCACGAGGCAGAATGAAACCTGATTCATTCCACTGTGCACAACATAAGTATAGATATAAACCATATCATTTTATTATCATAAGAAGGATTTTATTATTATTCCTTCTGCATAATATTTTTCCTTTATAGATCTCATACCGCATTAGGAAGAAATTGTCTTTATTCCAGACTATATGGTGATAATACAAATGACGTTTCCCAATAAGCCAAAGGCAGAGCTGTGAACTGAACTCTGCTGAGCTACAGTCCATTATTCTATCCACTGGATTCCCAATAACATATTACTTTTTTGTTTATTTGTATGCAAAGTTAATATAAGCATGGAGAACATCTGCCAAGTCATTTTCCTCATCTCTTTCCAGGACACACCTATGCTTCATATTTTTTGGTTTGCAAGCAGCAAGAAAGTACCCACCACATAACAGCTGCAGGGGCTATCTGCTGTGAGATAGGTGGCAGAAGAC